AATGTGGATAGGGCCTTGCTGTCACCGCTCCGTTGGTTCTCCAGGTGCAAGTGAAAACCACACATCTGAATGTGAAAACCAGCCAACATCAATCACTTCCCTCCGGTGGCAGATAGAGCACAGGTTTCTTGAGCTTTCTTCCCACCAACGACTGACTGATGGTGCTCAATATCCTGCACAGTTAATCCTCTGGACACGAGAGCAATCAATGCAGGCCTTTTCTCAGTCGTTCTCTCTGAAAAAAGATGTATTCAAGGGGCGCTGGACCCGCTTTCCAGCAGGTGACGCTCCCCACCAATAAATAGATGGAGCCGTTTAAAAAAAAAAACAAAAAAAAACAAACAAACGAAAAGACTGACTGATGGACAGGACTTCCTTAGAGCAGTGAGGCCTGGCAAAAACCCCTGGGGCAAGTCAGGAATTCTGAACTTCCCCTCCGGGAGGGGAAGATCGTGGGGACCACCAAACACATCTTCCTCCAGTGCTTGAGTTCAGTCCTGAGATGGAGATAGCTGGGTAGAATCAGGAGCCAACTGGGAATGACAGAAGACTGGCCCTGGGACTGGAGGGCACTCCTACTTAGGGCCTGGAAACCGGCCGCCAGTCCCTTCACCCTGGATATGTTCGACCTTGGGCGACGGGCCCTGCTCTGGGCAATCCAGAAGAATCGATGTACTCAAGAAATGGAAGGGGTCGGACTGGAGGGACCTGAGTTCACCGAAATCATAAAGCGACAGACACAGACGGGTTTGCTGATGCAATAATGGGAAAAAGTCGAGTCGTCGATGAATGTTATGCAGACTCCCTTGGATCTTAAAAAGAGACTCCAGAACTTTTCGACAGACTTGCTGGGTGGGCGGCGAGGGGGCTGCTGGATGGCAGAGGTGGAATGGAGAGGGGAGCCGAAGCAGGTGAGAGCCCCGATCAGACGGATCTATAGACTCTCCTTCCAAGAGTGGACCTCCATTCATCCCCAGATCGCGCTGTGCCCCCCCTCAAGACAGGTAGCAGAGAATTATTAATATTATTATTATTATTATTTAAACCTGCGAGCTCTACTAGAGAGGGTAATAAGAGCAGCCGCCTCTAGTAGCTTTCCATAGTCGCTCCATCTATTGGTGGGGAGCTGCACGTGCTGGAAACCGGGGCCAGCGTCCCTGTACAACAGTTTTTTGCTGAAAATAGCAGAGAATAGTATAGGAGAGTCACCAATTCCTTTTTTTTTCTTGGCTACCAGCCGGGCCGCACGGGTCACCCTATTTTCTCGGGCGGCCCAGCCGTGCAAGCACCAGGGAAGGTCCCAGCCAAAAAAAAAAAATAAAAAAAAAATCCAAAAAATCTGAAAAAAAAACTATGTTATGCAGAACAATAAACTGAACAACTTTTGCCTTAGGGTCGTCGAAGGAAGATGAATAGTAGAAAGTCTACTCTCAACCACTATGGGACTGGGTAGGTTGGTTGTCTACTGTTCGTATCTTCCGAACTACGTGGTGGAGGAGGTCGGCTCGTCGGAAGATAATGATGAGTAGGGGGTAAGTGGGAGGGACCTCTGATGACTTCTGTGTAGGCTGTTGTTGCTTCATCCCGCAAACTATGTGGTGGAGGAGGTCGGCTCGTCGCGAGATGAGGAAGACTGCTGCATGCTGCTGCTCCCTGCAAGACCCTGTGAATTCATCTCCTG